TCCATTCCATTTTCTTTTCTTTTCTTTTAAAAAAAAAACTCCGGTGAACGTTATTGTTAAAAATGTTCGCAGACAATTTTGCACAGGATGAAAAGAAATAGGTTGACATTTTAGAAACAAGATGTTCTTTAATTTCTTTAAAAAATGACGTGACATGAACTATGCAACACCTAAAATCTAGAAACGCATTTTGGGAATAAAGAATTTGCTGGTGTCTGAAATTTGATGAATTTCTTGTTTAAGTGGAAACCACAAAGAGAACGGGACACAAGGATACCCTTGGTTCATGAATTGAACAATTATTGGAGAAGATATGACAAAATGATCTTATCTGCTAAAATACGTGTGTTCAAATGAGAAATGCCGCCAGATGACGTCACTAGGCGGTGCATTCCCTCACTTTTAAATCTATTTTTATACTATTTCCCATGTCAAAAAAAAAAAATAATAAAAAAACTGTGAAATCAGCTCTAGCACTTTCAGATAGAACAATAAAACATTTGCATGCGAATTCTCCATTCCACTATCGATATATGACAGCACGATATTTAATAACTCCATCTCTTACAAGGGAACGAAAATTTACGTTGGAGTTCCCATCGATAAAACCGAAATCCCATTCAAAATGTAAAATGGCAACGGGGGTACGACGTCGCTCATATTTGTACATGGAGACGCAGAAAACAGCTAATTAGTGGAGTTTGGGAGGGATTTGCGAGTCGGCAGCACCGGGGCTTAGGTACCTGCTTCAACTGTCGCTTTCCCGCTCCGCGATGAGCGCTGATGACAAGTTTCTCGCGAAATTTCGAGTATTTTGATTTGCAGACCCCCGCAATCGATTTTCATTGAAGTCAAAAGGTATGAGCTCAAGAAAACCTATTGAGGAGCTTGGCGGACAAGGCGCATAAGTGCAGTTTTTGCTATTTTGAGAAATACGCGTTCTAAGTTTCGAAATTACATGGAACCTTATGGGGGAAAGAAAGTCCAGACTGATTTTTTGATGCTTGAAAATTGGAATTTGGGAGCGAATTTTTCACAGAATATCTATTAAGACTAGTTTTACTTGAAATCATAAATATATATATACCTCATTTTTTAAAAAACTGCACCTATGCGCCTTGTCCTCAAATACCTTCACATGGCGACAGGGGGTTTTAGAAGAAATGAGGGTTTGCCAACTCCCTGAAGGGCTTTTGGAGGATAGGGAACTTTGGCGGCTAGGGGTCGCAGAGCGCCAGAGAGCGCTATAAAAGCGGCTTATACATACATACTGCCTCCTCACAACAATGGTTTCCTTCTCCTTCATTTTTTTTTTTTAAAAAAGACAAATTTCGCTGTAAAGAGCAGAATCAGCCGATCCATTTAAAATAAATAAGTCGAATACAGGAGGAATTTTAATTTCGAAAATTTGAGCGACACTAAGATACTCTCTTCAACGATACGGCAGCATCGAAGACGAGACGTGGCAATTGCACTCCGATGCCCTCCACTTCCGGCAGATAGCGCCTGTATCTTGGCAGCCAGGCAGCCAGCCCTCCGCGTTAATCACAGTATTAACATACTCACCTATCTATCTTGCTGGCGCCCGTCCTCTCGAAGCTCCCGTTGCTCCCCCCCCCCCCCCCCNGCACCATCTACCCGGCGTACCCACTCGTCATCTGCAATTTCACTCTTTAATTACCCTTTTTGTTCACGTCCGCCCAACCCTGATGCCCCAACATGACACTTCCACGATGTCGGATCACAGTCAAGTTTGGGCCCCTCCGAGACGATTTCGTTACCTCTGCCGCACCAACCGGCAACGCTGTGGTGCATTCGACCGACTTTGTGCCACTTTTGAAGCTTAAAATATTATGAAATGTACAATCGTTGAATTTCATAGCAAGATACACACATTTCAAAACTCTAATTGCTCTTCAAGGATTGCGAGAGTCCGCGTTTAACCCTGTTGTCTGAGCATCGCGTTGCGATCAATTCGCATTTGCTTTACAAAAAAGGTGATGACGTTTTTCTGTAAATAATGCCTTTTTGAACTTAAATATTACGAGATATACGTATAACGATCAACTATGTTTTTCCGAGGATACAAACTTCAGACCTCGAATGTGAAAACGGTCGACTGACCATAACAGATTGTATCAATTACTCCATACTAAATGAAGCAATGAAGGTCAGTTTATTGTTAGTACTGAATGTTATTGATCTAGACGAATTAAAATTGATATGAGATATGTTTGAGTACTGGTCAACTAATCATTCTGATTAGAGAGGAACTTAAAGGCTCGCAAATCCTTCGTGTTAAGTTGTGTTAAATTTATGCTTAAGTTCAAAATGCACATAAAACATTTCGACGGCGGAACTACCAGAACACGTATCTCGATTTGCGACGTTGCAGACTTTCTGCCATATTTTATTTTTGAATGGAAAACTACTCAGCGTCGATTCTTGAAAACTTCCGTAATTTTTCTTCTCTGCCTGCGAAGAAAACTCCGTGAAAACTTCAAGGAATAATATTAATTTGTTCTCCTTCAAAAAAATAAAATGGGAGCGGAGATTTTTAAATGCCACAAACGAGATACGCGGGTAGGAATTTTACCATAGATTTGTTGGTGCTAGTGATAGGTAAAACACAGAATGTCTATGGTGCCTAAAAGAACGTTGTAAGAGCCTTCAGATGTTGTAAACATTTCGTAAAATACAAAATAAAATTTTATGGATACTTGTGAATGTTTTGTACTACATAAAATGTGACAGAAAAAGGTTTTTTTTCGCAGGGATTTAACTGCTCATAGTTGGACCGCGTGTAACAGAAAGGAACCAAGCCACATCAGCTATTGCCATATTTAAGTGGGCAATTTAATTTTTTACGAGAGAACGTTTGTGCGGATTCGTTTGAAAATTTCAAGGAATTTCCTTCGTTCTATGGAGAAAATGCACTGAAAGTTGCATTAAAATCCGCACAACCATTTTCATGTAAAATATGAAATTGCCCGGTTAATTTGGCAATAACTAATGTGGCTTGGTCCCTTTCTGGTTAACGCGGTCCATTTGTCTTTAATCCAAAATAATGTTTCAAAGGAACCATCAGTGCTTTCGGAATCCACAAAAAGTGTGTCAGATACGTTCGATGGGATTTGTTTCATGAACACTCGACGGTAGTGAAGTGTCAGCTTGCTTTATTTATTCCGATATAAAATTTCTCCGGAATCCTCACATAATTCCGTGGCTAGTTCGTTTCTTTCCGACCGATCAGACATGACAACTGAGGAGTTGTGCAATTTGCATGCCTCCCGCTTCCGTCGGCAGAATACGAAATCAATTCATTAGAGGCTATCAAAACTCCGGCTGACCCAGTTTACGCCGCCCGAGCTCTCCGCGGGACCGACTAAAATTGCAGGAGCTTTTAGGTTGATTGGAAATAGAATTTGGAGCCGGAAAGAAAGGGGAAAAGATTGAATTCAAATTATGCTTCCCTTGCAGTGTGGTCCTCCGCAAACGTTTGCCAAGTTGAGACAAAACAATTCACTGGAAAAAAAACCACATTGGATCTAGATTCCAGACTCTTGAAAACATTGATAAGAAAAAATACTCTTGATTCAATCGGATTTTTGCTTGGATCAAAACAAAATCCGCTTAAAGTAAGAGGCTTGGTTCTTGATTTAAGCTAGACTCTGATTGAATCAACAGTACTTTTTCTTGTCGATGTTTTTAAGAGTCTGGATTCTAGATCCAATGTGTTTTTTTCCGGTGCTTGACTCATATACATTAATAAAAATGCTTGTTTACGGAAAATTTTTTAACCCTTTTATCCCGATGAGTTTAACTCAACGAGATAAAAAGGTAAAAAATTGTCCGTAAACAATGGAACCCGATAAAGAAAGCACCTTCTACTTTTAAAAATGCTTGTGTTCTCATTTTATTTTTGGTTAATAAAGGAAGTGAAACAGAAATCAACACACATTTTGTGTTGATTTTGGTACAGTTTGCGGTTTTGGCCCAGAAAACAATACAGAGACTGGAGAAATGCATTTCTCCGATTGCGACGTTGATATTAACTACTCTTTTTTTATTAAATTTCTTCGCGGAAACTAGCTGGCATTTTCTCTTGAAATTTTCAGCCAAAATCTGAGGTTATTTAGTGTTTTAATTCCCGTGTTAACCAAATTTAGGTGTTGCCTTCTCTCTCTGTGTGCTGTGAAATGCGAATAATGTTTGATGAATATGGCCTCGAAAACCCGGTTAGCGCCATTAGGTGTTGTTATGGTTGCTAAAAAATTTTAAGAAAATTAGAAAAGATGAGACCGCACACTACGGGAAGCCATACAACTCTTTATAGTTTAAAAATAGTGGCGAGGAGTGGATGATCGAATATCGATACCGTCCCATCTGATGCTGTGGTAAAGAATCGATTGTTAAGGCGTTTGTTGCGAATACTCTATTTATCGATCCTTTCCCGTAGGTTTAAATGACAGATCATAGACGATATTAAATGAATCGCAAAGCACACGTGTCGTGTCTCTGTTTAAAAAAAGGAGTAAACCATCCACGAGGCGACACGAAAAACTAACACAACCGTTTCCAAAAAATACAGCATAAAACAGACACCCACACTGCCGTGCTAAGGAAGAACGCCATATGAGCATTCGAGGGTTGCCAAATTGCTCTAGATAAAACGTATATTTTCAAAGAAAATCATACGTATTTTTCCTTAAAATTTTTCGACGTTTTAGATAAAATTGCGAACAAAATTGTCTGAAAAAAGAGGAGAAAAATATCAACGATTTTCATAGTAAATTAGATTTTTATTGACGTATATATGCCAGCGTCTGAGGGTTCATAAGGCGCTTTTCCTTAGCACGGCAGCACACAAGTCACCGGTTTTCCGGTTCGATGATTTATCAAGCTCTGCGTCAAATTAAATACGGCCAAGGTTAAATTAAAGACTCAAGCGACAAGGTGAAAATCGATGGTATATATATTCGAAGAAAATAAGTGCAAAACTCTGTTTCGATTTGATCGATTATGGAATAGTTTGATCTCTGCCGTCACGTAGGACCCCACGCAACTGCTCAAATATCGAGCTTTGAAAACATTCCTCATTCAAGCATTGATTAATGCAGGAGTGTTCCATGACTGTGGTATCTCCCAAAACCATGCTCCGCTGTTTAATTCTTCCGGGAATTTTTCTAGTAGGTTTCACTTTAAAATATTTTTTGGACAATAAAATAATGTGCTAAGTAGAATGAAAGTTCACGCTTGCTTGGGTCATAAAACAAGGTATGAATTAAAGCACTACGAATATGTTTCCTCCTTAGAATTTTACGTAGAAAGCAAGTATCGCAATAGGAAGTTTTGAAATTATTTTCTGAGCGAAATGCAAACTTAACGCTGATCACACGGTACAAAAATACAAATGACGTAATTTATGATTTCGCCATTAAATTACTATTAGTTAAAAATCCTTTATTTTCTCGAGGAGTCTAATTTCGAACTTTCCAAAATTTGAATCATATTTTACGTAAAATTCTAAAGATAACACATATAACTGAGACACGAAGGGCTTAGGTTCGTACCTTGTCCAGTGCACCATTTTGACAAAAATGTAGCACGTCCAAGGAAGCAAGGACTTCAGTCCGGGGAGAAACATTTTTCAATTTTGTGGTTTTTGTTTAATTGGGTCGAAAATTTGGATCTTCCGATTTGACGGACAATTACATGTTGCTCGTAACAGTATCAGTGCAATAAAAGTTGTAGATGTGCGCTTGAAAATTTAACTGAATTCGGAAATGGCTCTGTTACCAGAATGCCTTTTGATTGTAATGTCTTAATTGTTTCTCGTATTCAATGTTTATCTCACATTTTAATCTTTTATAGATTGTGCTTTACAATGTTGCCGATGTGACTGCTGAGGGAAGTTTGTTAAGCGAAAAAGTTGAATCAGCTGTACTCTCAATGTCGATGGAAAGATGGGTAGGTTTCTAAGCATTATTTATCCTCCCATAAATGGTAAAAGATACATGAAAACACAAGGAAGTTTTTCTGAAGTTTTATCATTATAATTGCCAAAAGGTATCATGGGAAATGAGGAAAATGAGAAGGGAATGAGTGACTTCCTTTAAAAAAAAAAAAAAAAAAAAAAAAAAAAAAAAAAAAAAAAAAAATATGAAGATATCATTTATAGTAATCTTCCTGCAAACTTGATTACCAGCAGCCTGATTGTTGAAATTTTTAGTTTGACGGAACGACATAGATGACATAGGTTAAATGGCGGAGCGTGATTGGTCGGCTATGTCCTTATCGCTGCTTTGTCGTGTCTATGACGGGTTGAACTCACGACAAGTTAAGGGCACCTCTTAAGTTTCCGACAGTATGTCGTCTATTCCACTCGACAAAGCACGACAAAGCGACGATAAGACAAACCCGACCAATCACGATTCACCATTCTTATGTCATCCATTTCCACCCGATAAACCAAAAATTCCAACAATCAGGCTGATGAAGTATTAAGCATCGATATCCACGACTGAGATGAATCGCATACCACAAAAAATTCACCTAAACTCCTTTATCCATCATGTCTTTTAATTGCTCAATTTTGAAATTCTCTCATTTTTTTTAAAATTTACATTCCATGATACATAAAATTCTAAGTAGTAAAACACCATTGCCGCCCGCAAAAAAAAAAAAAAAAAAAAAAAAAAAAAAAAAAAAAAAAAACACATTTTATTGGCGTTTAAAGGGATGGATTTCACTTTCATTGTCCTCTTAATATGATTTAGTTTTGTCTCTAATTATACGTGCGAAAATGTCTCCTCTGCTTCATTCTTGGTTTGAAGCTCATGGGCGTTCGTTTCATTAAGTTATAACCACGTAGCATTCACGTCATCGGAACGTTTGGTTCTTGGTCGTGTTTATCGGGTGACGTTATTTCGGTCGAAACTTAGACATCAGGATGCTGCTTGCTACCACGTGCTGGACGATGCGTATAAGCATTTAACAGTCAACTAGAATTGTTGCGATGAAATTCTGCTCACAAGAATTAACTACTTTTCTGTTTTTCCACCGTTTTTCAGCATATTTTCCGCCGTCGAGCACCTGAGAAGAATCCACCTCGTAAATCGGAGAAACCGAAGAAAAAGAAAAATCCAAAAGAAGGCCTCGTAAGTTTTCTGTGTCTTCCTCTTGAATCGAGACGATTCTTTTTGACAGGAAAATTCGTCCCACGCTTTTGGACATGAAAATTGCTTAGAAATGTTTTCATTTTTTTTCAAAGATAAATCAAACAGGGATATTTAAAACTTGATATGTTTTTCTTTTTTTATATTTTTATCGAGAAATCATATAAACAGAAGTTTTTGAATACTACATATGATGCATGTTATAAAAAGAAAACTCCGAATGATTCTTACAAGACAAGAAAATTGAAAATGGTCCGTCTCCTGTGGAGATCTCATCAGTTTTAGGGAGGCTGACACAATCATAAAATTAAAATTCGGGAAAGAATGTGTGCATACAGGAGGATTTAGTTATGGAGGCCCGGACAAGGCGCATAAGTGCAGTTTTTGCTATTCCTAGAAATACGTGTTTAAAGTTTCAGAATTATATGGAGCCTCATGGTGGAAAGTAAGTTCAAACTGACATTTTGATGCTTAAAAAATTGGAATCCGTAAGCGAATTTTTCTTAAGATATGCAATAAGATAAGTTTTACTTCAAATGATTGATATCTCAATTTTGTCATAAACTGCACTCATGCGCCTTGTCCTCCGAGCATCTAATCGATCCGCATTTCGATGAGGATAAAATAATATTCCCCGTCTCAGTGGATTATTTAAATGGAAATGACACTCCATCTCCAAAATTATGACTATAAGGCATATTAATGTTAAGTGTTTTTTCTCGGATTTTTCAAGTGCCCCTGCTGTGATCAGAAGATAGGTTGTCACTTGGATGGGTCGTACGGCACGATTTTCGAAAATATTTGCAGTCAGGAATGTCCCAACTGCTATCGAGATTGCATGAACTATTACAACAACGGAGCTCACCCTTGCCCAGGCGGCGGTCCATGCGACTGAAAACTGGTATTACCCTGTATAAACGAATGCATGAATTTTAAATACATTTTTTGCTCTTTCTTTTTCTTTCGAATCTGTTTTATTTTGCCTATCAAAGTAATGAAATAGAAAGCTGAACAAGACTGAGTAAAATCACAAAAAATGACCGTGTTTTCCCTCCTCCATTTAAAGTAATGGTAATGCGTACCAAGGATTTATAATAAGTGAAACGCAAAAAACTAGCCGTCCATGATTAAAAGCTACAGCCTACTTTAGGGACTGGAGGACAACAAAGGGCTGGTGATTATAGTCTACAATCAGTTCAGATTTTAGTTCCGAGAGTTGAGTTAAAGAACTACTCGGAGTGTCTCTCATCTTGTGCTTCTTTCAGTGTAGCCCCACTGATTTCCTATTTTTTTTCTCATTTAAATGTAGGTAAGTCGTGATGTTCCTCCTTCTTTCACCTCTGCACCATGTTTTAGATAGTCAGTGTCTGAAATCATCGGATCCCAATGGTTTTTCAATCATACTAATATACACATATCCAAGCCATTATATGGAAAGAAAACTATGAACCAAACTCAAAATGTAAAACATTCCGATTACTTCAGTTGGAGAAACAGTTTTCAATGGCGCGCTGTCAGCTTTTAGACTTCGAATGGCTGAAATCTATATTTGCTACGTCTGTGCATGTGAAGTCTTCCTTATTTGAACTGAAAAGCACTTCGGTTTTGCCGTATGCACTCAATTGTAGTTCATATAACCAGAGTTTCTCTGTTTCCTTCGCTGCACAGTCATTTCCTCATATTAACGGTTCTTGCATTTTAGAATAAAGTATTGCGCATTCTTCACTAAAACCACCGTCAGACTTCGAGCAACCTATTAGAGCCCCACTTTCAACAAAAAAAACTTTTCAAAAATTTCATGTCGCAGATTAATAACGATTAAAATCATTATTGGGTCAAATAACAAAAACCGAAGATTTAAAACGAGGATTTCGCATTAATCGCTGTCATCGCGTGGAGTTTCTTCGCTTCTCATTGTTGCGGGCTGGGCACTCTTCGATCTTGGAGGGGCGGCTTGGACTCCGGATAGAGGCGCAAACCGCGGGTTACTGGAGTCCCTTTATACTGAGAGTCAAGACAACACCCCCTCATGGAGTCACAAACGGGAATACAGATTACAGAAATCGAACGTTTTTTGTAAACTTTGATCGGCCCATTATCAAATTCCTTTCTCCTTTCCTTCTCTCATCCCGTTTGTTCCTTGCCGAACCCGTAATTCCCCGGTCCATTCCAGATTATGATCTTTGCAATCGGTGCCGACATCGGTTGGTCCAGTGGTTATAGCGCAACTGATCATAGACCTAGATGTCCCGGGTTCGAATCCCGGCCTCGGTGGCAAGATTTGATGGTCTCAGATCTTGTCACCGTGGAGTGGCATGGATGTTTCTCTTCGTTTCTTCCTTCGTTTCTTCCTTTGTACTTCGGTTTCTACTGTTGTTGTACGTAATCTTCCCATCATTTAGCGGTGGCTGTTTGTCTACACGACTAAGGCCAATGAACTATACCTAGAGTGCGCAAGCTCTCAAAAAAAAAAAAAAAAATCTTTGCAATCGATGAAAATGTAATATTTATTCCCGTTTGTGACACTGTGAAGGCCTAAAATACGGGAACCGATCAGAAATGGATTCACATTGTCTTGACTCTCAGTATAAAGGGACTCTAGGGTTACTTGCCAGCAACGACCCCGTTCCATGTTCCTTGTCTATGTACTCCAATGTTCCCATCCCAACCACTTTGCATAGAAACGCGCAATTTTTCCCCCGCGCAGCGGAAAATGACCACTCCAGAACACCGAGGGTTGAAATGGACGTGTTTACGCTAAAAGGAGCTATATTGCACGCGAACCCTGTGCACATAGTCCCTTTTATCATAAAAACGTCCAAATGTGTTAAACACTAATGCTCCGGGAGCGCCGGAACTAGGGGGTGGGGGGTTGTTCCCACCAGAGCAGGGTGAAAGGGTTAAGGTTAGGGGGGGAGCCAGGGTTAGAGCTATTGATTCCGCTGAAAACATTTCGCAGTGGACATGTTTTCGAGGAGGCTAATTGCTTCATAATTGCCGGGCTCGGCGAGCGGGGGCCAATCCAGCCAATGACGAATGCAAATTAGGAGCGGGCATCTTCGGGCGTGTCAATCATGGCGACCGGGCGGAAATTTATCTATTTAATAAGGGGTTAACTCGTCTAACCCGATTTGGCCAATAATTTCTTTATTAACTTCGTTGCCCGGGCCGGGAGGGCAAAAAGCTCCCGATAACCCGTGTCATAGCTTAAAATCGAGGGATTTTATTGAATTACCAAGTTAGAATGACGCGTCGCGGCGCTCAAAGGGTGCCCGCCTAATTTTCGCCCTAGGGGCCGCGGCCAAGGGGGGGGGCGACGCCCTTTAAATCTTTGCCGTCTCGCTGTTTTTGCGCCCGCCGATTGGCGAAGCCCGATCAAAACCTCGACCGCTATCGATAAATCGCTTTGAAATGTTTCCGTTCTATGCAATTGGTTACGTTTTTGCGAGGCTCCGTTACGAAGGACTAGAGTCCCTTTATACTGAGAGTCAAGACACCGTGAGTCCATTTCTGATTGGTTACCGTATTTTAGGCCTCCACAGTGTCACAAACGGGAATGAAGATTACATTTTCACGGTTGCAAAGATTATAATGTAGAATGGACCGGAGAATGACGGGTTCGACACGCTGGAAAACAAAAAACACATTGGATCTCTATCCAGACTCTTGAAAACATTGACAAGGAAAAAAAAACTCTTGATTCAATTGGATTTTCGCTTGAATCAAAACGAAATCCGCAAGAGGCTTGGTTCTTGATTTAAGCTAGATTCTGATTGAATCAAGAATACTTTTTCTTGTCGGTGTTTTTAAGAGTCTAGACTCTAGATCCAATTTGTTTTTTTTTTCCAGTGCAAGGAACAAACGGACTGAGAGAAGGAACGGAGAAAGGAGTTTAAGAATGGGCCGATAAAAGATTACGAAAAACGTCCAATTTGTGTAATCTTTATTCCCGTTTGTGACTCCATGAGGGATGTTGTCTTGACTTTCAGTATAAAGGGGCTCTACGTATGACCAGGGATCCACAGTTTGCCACTCTGCTATGACGTGCGTGTAACTCAATTTTTACGTGAGACCTGATCTTCGTGCAATGCCGTGCTCTCCGGGGCTCAAGTGGAAGTAAAGATACGCCCTTACGTTATGCGTCAGATAAGCGACGAGTTGAGACTTGAGACCTTCTCAAGAAATACTTTGGTTAAACTGATCAATAAGGCCCGTTTTCGTGATCGGCCAATGTTATGGTTCATATTTATGACTAAGGGAAGTTTAGGGTGGCATTTGATATGGAACCATAAAAAACACCATGAAAAGCTCAAATTTCCGGGACCTGGATTTAAATTCAAGTGTATGACTTTGGGTGTATATCTTTGAGAGGGATTGAAATTGTTTGCCACCGCCACCGCAAAAAATAAAAAATGCGGTGGGTTCCATTTTATGATTTTTACAACCGACTGCAAAGGAGATCCGGGTCTACTTTAAGACGTATCGTCAATGTAGGGAATACATTTTTACGAAACACTTGAGATGAGAGTAATTTTAAGCTTAAACAGTCATTGGTATATGTCTATCGAAACATAAATTCGAATCAGAAAATTAACTTACTTCTTGGGGTAAGAGAGAGAAGATGAAGAAAAATAGGAGTTAAAATTTCATTTTTACATCCAAACTTATGAAAAATAAAAAATCAAATCCTACATGCCTGCTTGACTGATTCCAAAAACCGAAAAATGACGAAAAATTGCGTAAACTAAATTTCAATAGACATACATCTCGGTAAAGGAGGAAAGTGCATAGACACTCACAGAAAATCACATTTTTATATTAAGAGACCAGCAGCAAATTAGTCATTGCTGAGCTAAACCAAAACTTCGATCACTTTCTACTGAATCCGATCCACTTATCAATACGCAGTATTTTCTCGGCGATTTTGGCAGCGATGTGCAATAATGCTCCCCTCCTATCTAAGTCCTTAGGCTTCACAGCGGGTGANGGGGGGGGGGGGGGGGGGGGGTTGGAGTCGGTGCGCTCGGGCGGAGCACATAAAGACTTGTTTTTATTTACTTATTATTCCGATATTTCCTATACATAGATACGATTGAGCCCAGACCGGGGAGCGTGTTCGACTGGCAGACATGAGGCTTATCTGGAAGACGACCTCGTCCGGATTTGTGATGGGTTTTCGGGATTCGGGACTCCAAGTTCCGCAAACCAGTCGCGGAATAAATTCAATTTCGGTTCGTCAAACGTTGAGAGGGCCTTGCTGGCTTCTCCGAGATAACTATGTTCAAAGGTGGCAATAAGCACGGAGATAAAGGACAGGAACATTTTTCTTCTTCGATGAAATGAGGTTACACAATGTCGCTCCTCTGGCGTTGGGGCTTACCTCGATTTCCGCGTGAGCCCCAAAAAAACATAGATTTATATGTAAAACAGGGCACACGTGGATTTGAGATGCGCCTTTTACACTGGAAAAAAGTCTCTTGGATCCAGAGTCCAGTATCTTAAAAAAAAATTCCAAAAAAAAGATATCTTGATTCAATCGGATTTTCGCTTAAATCAGAGGAAAATCCTCTTAAATGTACCACTAGACAAGGTGCGAATTTAAGCAATCTGATAACTGTTTCGTAACCAGAATTTTACGTAAAATACGATTCTTACAACGAAAATTACTGAAGCCAACTTTTAACGAAGATATTAAGGTTTTTATTACTCATTGGTTACGAGGAATTTGAACTGCCCGCTCACAAGAAACTCAAAGCTCTACGTGAGTCAAATCGCACACTACGACGGTTTCAGCAAGCTTCTCAGTCGAGCAATGTTCATGTCCCACCATGTGTTGTTCAAACTATAAGAAATTTGCTATAGCTGAGTCAAAGCGTCAAGATCGAGGTTGCCAGATATTTATATCGCAGAGACTGGCATGATAAACGTTTAGCGCGCGATGTGAATCATGTAGGGCATTGA